GCATCCACAAGAAAGATTTTATCAGAAATAAAAAAATTTTGATATCAAGATGTAAAAAATTATTGAAAATATCGATAAAACTTGTTTTAAAAGGTCAAAATTGCTTATTCTCAAATTTAAATCAACACGTGGTACATGCAGTGTTTGACAGAGGCTTTCAACACATTGCATAATATAGTACCTCCATCGACAGCACCTGGCCCATCATACTTTGTGTCAAAATCATATCAAAATTTAACAGGAATATTAAATATAGGCTTTTTTTCTGGGTTATGCTGAGTTGGGGCTTTATCTCTACTTTTTTCCTGAATGGCACTTTTGGAAGGTAGAACACATGTGACCGCCTTTTTTCCCGCCCTAATTATTTAATACATGTTGAAAATGATAAGACCTATCTTGCTAGAAGGATATCATTTTTTTAATGTTCGCGTACTGGTTTCTTAAATGAAGAGGATGTTTGCCAGACCTAAAATTCGGAAAGCCATTCGGTACATCATAGTTTATAAGGTTACATATTTTTGAATTCATTAGATTTATGTCTGATAAAGATTTATCAATATAGTCGTTCAGACGTAAAATACATTAAGTTCCGTATATTAAAATCGTTTACTTCTCATTGGCGAACGACAGATGTGAAATGGTATTTTAAAGATACTTCAAAGATTTTTATTGAAACATTTGAAATAAAATAAGCTAGCTTTGATGTGGGTATGCCTGTGTACATGTACTTTGAAGAATAGGTCGTATACGCTTTCATAAATAAGGGAAATTATTTATTTTTTCTTTTCAATATAGAAAAAAAAAATCGCCCTCTTTCTTGGAAAACCCTGTTGTAACTTTCCCTTGTCAGATCAAAGGCACCACAGGACAGTTATGACTGCCCATCAAATATTAATTGTAGATTATTACTTAAGTGTCTGATAGGCAAGTAAATGTGACATGTTTCCATCACTTGTTTACATGGACTCACAGAGTGCAATTAACATAAAAACAAACAAATAAACCAAAAAGCTCAAAATAATTGAATTTCCTTGATTTGGTGTGGCGATTTTGGCGTATACTGTAAAGGTCCCATTTCGATACTTTACCTGCACGCTTAAGTCATTTGCAAAACAATTTGTCCATTTGATACCTCTTATATTTGAACAATTCAAAGTATTTGCGAGCCCTTTGAGATACACACTCCTTGCAATTACATGTACTATAAATGTAATCTTAAACCAGTAATACTGTGAATGCATCGCATTCCATAAAACGATAAAAATTAAATGAAATATAGAGACAACATTTTAATGAATGGAAATTCGCTTTAAATAGTTCAAATGACAGGTATTTACATAGCATGTGTACTAAAGTGTGTTTTAATTCTTTTTTAAAGCTTCGACATCGGGCAGGTATATTCCATGCAACAAGCGAGACGCCCAGGACTATTGTCTGAATGGCGGAAAATGCAGGATCATCAAAGAGCTCGATCTCAAAACATGCTCGTGAGTTTCCCCCTTTTTTCCCTCTCTTACAGACAAACATTATCTGTTTTATAATTTTAATTATAAAAGTTCTTTTAACTTGAAAAACCCAGAAAAAAGGATTAAAGAATAAGAAAGAGTTAATCTATCTTGATTATATATAAGCGTAAGATATGTTTGAATTTTATGAAGCAACCTGTTTATCGGAAGTTTATATCAGCACTACATCACAGAGATCAAATTCCATAGAGTTTTTAGCTCACCTGAGCCGAAGGCTCAAGTGAGCTTTTCTGATCACATTTTGTCCGTCGTCCGTCCGTCTGTCCGTCCGTGTTTACGAGAGTGCATTTATTGGGTATTTTTCATGCCAAGATTTTACTTATTGGGTACTTTTTGCTTATTGGGTATACCCAATAAGAAGTGTCGCTGAATATGCTTAAAACACCCTAATTGGGTATTTGCAGGTTAGTACCCAACAAAACTTGGACACGACGATTTGTCCAAAAAAGTGTCCAAAAAAGTTGCTTTCACGGACGCACCGTGTTTTGTTGTTTCAGTTTTACATTCGGAACTCTCAATACTCGAGAGTTCCGAAAATCAACTTCCGTTGATCCTGATCATAACAATGTTTGTTTTCATGGAAAAAAATATGGCGACTAAGAAACACTTGATGTCAACAAGATTTTCTGATTGACAAGAGAAAAGGTAAGTTTATTCGATTAATATTTATCCATTGCTGGGTTCTTGTTTAAGGAAAATAGATTTTAATGTAATTTGGAAAACAATCGTGCACAAAATTAAAAGAGATATATCGGAACAATTATTCCTAAGTTGCACTTGTTTGTATTTTGAATTTTCTCTGTCTTTTTAACTCTCTTGAGGGCGAGAAGTATTTAGTAAATGATCGTATATTGTTAGATAATCTTTAATAAATCGAAAGTGTTTATTATTTAATTTTATATCATAACCAAATAAGTATGTTCTGACAATGTATATGGGAAAGGGAAATGAAAATTTTAACAATCGTGTGTTCATAAATCAGCTGTAAATTATCGGTTCATGTAGACAGTATTACAATCGCAAAGTGAGCCGAGATGATGATAAATGGGATAATTGACAACAACTAATTAAATAATTGTATGTAAGTTTATCTCATCTGATATGTAACTTAAGAGATTCATCGTATTACTGAAAAACTTTCAGTCAAAACAGTGCTTCTTTCTGTTTTTGATTTTTACTGAGTGTCTGCTTTATTTTGATTTTTTTTTAATTATTGTTTTTGTCATGTGTTTTAATTAATTTAAAACAATACTGAAATTGATATAGGGCTACTATAACTATTTCACATGATGGGTGTGTAATTAGCATTGCGCTACACCCGGGGCTTCCATTTTTGAAGATGGGGCTAGTGGTTTTCTGCTCTGAGGAATCCCCTTGGGCTATTAGGAATTTTAAAATACACATGTAATCCATGTAAAGCACCACCGGTATTTTTACTCTTTTTTGCTATTAAATTCCCTAATATGGAAGTATTCCAGACAGCATCCTCATATTATCCATAAATTTCCACAACTGCATCCTGATTTACTTAAAAACGATCTTTTATTTCCTAATTTGAATTCCCCCCTTTCCTTTGTTTAATATAGCAATATTTGCTTGTACATATATGCCTCACAGATATCTCATTATTAAATTATATACATTTACTCAATCAGCTCAATGATAAGTGTCATCCAATTATGTTGCGCTTTTTTTATTTAAAGCCAATAAACGTAACTGATAAAAATATATTTTTCAAAAATACAAAATTAAGTAAAGAAATATAGTTAATACATTTAAATTAAAGCTTTTCATACAATTCGGAGCACGGAGAACACCTCGTTTTATCTAATAATACGATTTTATCTTCTCTGTAATGTGTTATTTAAATCTTTTGTATTTTCTTCCGAGTCAGAGAAAATTCCGAGAATCCAAATTAAATTGTGATATCTTTATAACGCAATTGATTTAGATTTTGTAATTTACGGAAAATTTCTATCTTTATCATGTTTATATAAATTAATGATACAAATAATAAGTTCTTATAATTTTAGTCTAATAATTTTCGTTGTACATACGCCATATATGGCTTTAAATGATTCAAGATGAAAACAAAATGATTTTTGCTTCGTTTTGATTAGACAAACTAGTGAATGACCAGAAAAGGAATATTTAAAATCTTTTTTTTCATTTTTTTAAATCATTAATTTATATATGATTAAATTTTACTAGCGAAAATTAAATTAAACTTTAATTTTAAAAAGAATCATCTGTAGTTAATACCCAGGGGCCCGTTTCATCAAAGGTCGTACGCCCAGTCGTAGCGCTACGCCTGCGTAAAGTAGGGGTGAAACGGTTCACCGCGGTATCGGTTCACCGCGGTATTTTTTCTCGGTTCGATACACGGTACAAAATCTCTACTTTCGGTTCGGTTCGTTTATCGGTCGGGATCGTCATTCAGTCGGGTTTGGCATAAGGTATAAACATGCTTTTCTGTATAATTAGTTCAAAAACGTAAATTTCTGTGGACTTAAAGTTTGTAAAATGATTTTTAACAGTCAAATCAATTAAGGTGATTTATTCTATCCAGTTTGCACATTAATTCTTTGACTAGATTAAAAAAGGAAGGATTAAACAACAGTTAAATTTGTTTCCTTCTATCAAAATGTATCGTATCGAAAATAACCGAACCGAGATCAAATTTTTCGATACGTATTGAACCGTGAAGGAGGCGTATCGTTTCACCCCTAGCGTAAAGTCGGGACTAGCACGAATATTTGCATTTCATTAAAGAGTGTATCGTTACGCCTGACTAAATTTAGGCCAAAATTTTACGTCTACTCATGGGTAGGCGTAAGTTAGGGCGTAAAGTTAAAATAAGGCCTTTTTATTAATTTTAGCGAGTTCTAAAGAAAAAGTAAGGTTCTAAGAAGAATTTAAAATACAAACAATACATTATTTAATTATACATATTATGAAGGGGGAGGGGGTGTTGTTACAACTACTTGGGGACGTAGTTGATTTGAGTAATAACGTACTCAAATAATATTTTGATAAATTTATGCTGAGAAGAAAAGATTGTCTTATTAGAGATTTCTTACGTTTTGACAATGCATTCATACACATTTGATTGTGGTATCGTATGTCTAAGGTATTGTAAATCAATTTACATATACATGTATAACTGTATTTCTACACCCCGCTTGAAAAGTGGGACGGTACATGTATATGTACATGTATATACTATTTAGTAATCGGGATGTCCGTCCGTCCATCTGTTACGCTTTGGGGGTACCCATCTCTATCCGCAACTCCTTTCATATCACTGATTGAAATTTGGTGAAAGTTCACAGAATCTTTATCATATATTGCCATTGTGCCTTATTGTACTTTTTGATCCGACACATATTTTTGGGTTTCCCACAGCAAAACATGGACACGGCCATTATATTTATATGGAAGGCGGGGGGATATCTTTTTTTGAACTCATTGCTTACGGTACCTCTAGTTTCTTTTTCATTTACTAAAAAGGGACCCATTAAAATTGTCTATTTTGAAAACTATTTTCCAATAGCATATTTTCTGAAAAACAAAAATTTAAAAAAAAAAAAAAAAAATCGGTTTCAAAAGCATAGTTATCATCTTTCATGTAATTTTCTACATTTAAGAAAAAAATTCAAAAAAATAACCCATCTTAAAACCAAATAGCTTTTGTCATGTTTGAAGAGTCCATTTCTTATTTACTTCTCGTCCACATGCGTGGATCCAGAGGGGGTCGAAGAGAGGGTTCAGAATCTCCCGAATTTGCAGATTAATCAACATTGAATGTACAGATTACTTAGTTAAGGACGAAAGTAATTATTTTCCTAGGTATCTGGGACAAGTGATGTTCCCGGCGAATCATAGACCCCAACCCAGGGAGGGGGTTGGGGTCTCATAGACATATTTAGTAACAATACAGTGACTCGTGCGTGCATAACAAAATGGCTACACTTAAGAAAGCCTTCCTAATATTTACGTTGGAAAAGTAATATAAAATGTATCAACTCAATTAATCTTAGAAATATATGTACTGAAAGAGTATTCATCAAAATTAATATTTGTCTCGGATTTATGTCTGGTACATTTCCATTTCGGCTGATGTCAGTGTAAGGAAACGATTTTTTTTCTGTAAGACATTTTATTTACGCACTGTAGATCCAGTCTAAATTCATGAAATTGATGAAATGATGTTAAAACCTCAGCAATATCTTAAAGAATGCATATATCTTATTGTACCCCCTAAGTTTCATTTAATTCAGAGACGTGTAAGTGCATTTTTTCATATCTTTTAGTTGCGCGAACAATAATTGATGTAACGTCGGACACGGGAATTTCGCTGTAAATGACCAATACTGAGTAACGCCTCATCATAGTTAAAATAATTTTAAATTATTTAAAAGAAAATTTTAAGAATTATTCATTACTTTAGATAAAATAAATGATTTTGTTTTTAATTCAAATATGACATCGCGAAACCGCCAATTTCTTTGCGACATAAAGAGTTAGATATTATAGTACCAACACCGTGCGCAACGTCAAGATATTTTTGAAAGTGGTAATAAATTATTGCTTTTATATAATATCGATGTAAGACGGTGATAATTACACAGTTAAGTTCAAGAATGAATTATTCCCAATTTTTTTTTCTCAGAGAAACATTGATGCAGAAGACATCTTTAATTTTCATAATTTTGTTTAAAAGAGCAAATCTTACATAGTATAAGATAATCTGAGCGCATATAAAGCACATATAAGATGAAAATATACATGTTTTTGATTTCCTGCATTACTTACATTTTAATGAAAACAAAATAAAGAGTAGCTGTAACTAAATTTTAAAGACAGAGACCACACAAGCAAAGAATTTTTGTAAGAATATCTTTGTAGTCATTTTTCCAAACCTCTCTCTCTCTCTCTCTCTCTCTCTCTCTCTCTCTCTCTGCGTACTTTTAAAACGGTACATCACATTAGCAGATAGTGAAGAATTTTTTTCTATAACTGAACAATTATGAATCAATTGAATTGACAAAAAATTAATAAATACAGAGAGGATTATCTTACATGCACTATAGTAGTAAACGTGTAAAATTTATTTCTTGACTCAAAATGTGTTCATATGTAAACCGTTTGCATTTTGTTTTCATTATTTTTGCTTGCATATACATTTCTTATTAAAATTTTTAAATCTTATTCTGTCTCAAACTTAATTATTAGTATTTGTCAGTAGAATCAGTATTTATCGAATCATGAAATTTATTATCAAAGGCGAAGTTATTAACCTGTATCAATTTCGGGAAGAGGGGGAATGGCTGTAATTAAATTTCCAAAATGAATAGTTTTGCTTAATTCCGAAATGCAAGTACATGTACTGTCCTTTTCATCCTTTCAATTTATTAGACTTTTATTATTGAAATATTGTAAAAAACTAAAATTGGTTTCTTGAAAGATGCATGTCTCTTACATAACACTATAAACCCATGCATGTTTCAATTAGTGCAAGTATTAATTTATCTATAACTTGTGTTATTCTGTACTTTGACGTGCTACAATTTATACATGTTTGTACGCTTTGGGCAATGTTTATGTTTTTGCGCCTGCGCAATGCAACGTTGTCAAGGACTTAGTCCTGTGACTAAGCGTATCTTTTACGACTAGACTTACGCCACTTGGTGAAACGCAAATTACGCGCGACTAAATTTTGGCGTAATCCCCGAAAGTACGCCAAAGTTAAGGCTTAACTTTACGACTTTTGATGAAACGGGCCCCTGACTTTTTTCACGATGAACTTTTTTTCAATGTTCCTTTTTAATTTTTGCCTCTATATTTGGGCTTGTCACTTTTTACTCGGGGATAGTAACTTTATTGCCACAAAGCTGTGGATTAGTACTTGATTTCCTTTATTGCACAGCAATGACTATGATTTAATAGCACAAAAAGCTAATGGGTTTACGTATGTGAATTTATATGATTAATGCTTACTTGTGATTTTAGGATAACTGGAGATAATGATTCCTTTTTTCCATTGATATTACATAAATATTTTCCTAAGTATTATGTTACAATAAATTTGTTTAGATTTTTTTTTATAAAAGTAATCAATGATTACAATGGAAATTAAAACCATAATCATGTTCATTGAGGATTTTTAATATGTAACAGGTCAAACAGGAACTTCAATTGTGAACATTGCAGAGAACACACTCATCAGAAGATGACCCTCAGAAATAGGACAATTGTAAGTAATCAGTAAAATGAACAGGAATACTTTATGCCAGCCATAAGATTTTTAGAGACATTTTCGCTTCTTAAATTAGAAGAGATAGAGGGAAAAACTTGTACATACTAAATAACTACTAGGCAACCAACCTTTAACTGCAGGAAAGCTTTTGGTATGTGCAATACAGCTACATAAAACCTCTTTAGTATTCATGTTAGGTTTGAGAAACTACCTTAGTATTTTTTCTAGTGTTTGCCAACATTTTCATGCACACTGTATGCTTGTTTGTACTATCATTTTATTTTAAATTCTTCAGATGCCCTTTACCTTTGCCAGTTTAAAATCATTTGTTTTAAGGGCATCTGAGGGTTGGTTCCAGACATAATTAATTGTAAAGTAAATACTGGGGTACTATACGGTCATAGGTTATGTTAATACATGTATAACATTTTGTTCTGATAGAGGTGGCATACAGGAAAAGAAACAATACTAGATATCACTTCAAAGGAATAAAACAGCTTCATTTTGTAGGTGTATTTAATTTAAGGATCACTACTTCATGTCTGATGTGCTGAAAGTTATTTATAATCTGTTTGACTGTAATTTTTCATATTTTCAACTTCTATCCAGCTTAGTCAATTTTAATTAAATTTTGTGCAAAGCATACCCCAGGAAGGGGGAATGGAGTTTCAAGTGTGTCTCTGTCCCTGTCAATATAATTTCAAAGCAGTTAGTAAGGTTTGGGTCAATTTTAAATCCTCTTTAGCAGAACCATTGGGCAAAAAACAATACTAATGTGATTACATTAAAAGTCTAAAATTTGCAAGGAATAGGTGTAAAATCTTTTTAAAAATCTACTTCGTAACAATCAGAAACTAACATACTGTCTAATTAATATGCAACATCGTTTTGTGTGTTGAATGATGATTCCATTTTGATAGAATTATGGCAGATGGGGGGTAGGATGAAGATGCAGTTAGACATAGAAGAAAAAAAAAAGAGTTGATAGAATTTAGTTTTTCTTCCATTTTATTTATCAATACATATTTCTGAATAAGAAATATACTTCTACTTCTTGGTTGGGTTTGATCAACATAAAGGGTGATCTTGCTGTAGTCAAGAAAAACATGTTTTATACGGCAAAGAAATGCCATTATCTAATTGCAGAATGAATAAAATGGACAGAGGCAGAACTGAAGGAGATGCATGAAATGAGGAATATTTCAAAGATTGCCTGAGCATAACCAATACTACTGGATAAACATATGGCAATATAAAAGAGCAGGGACAATGGAGGTATCATACAGTATAGGCCATGAGAGACCCTGAAGAAGAAAGTATTGAACAGAAACAAAAATAAAACCATTTTGACATTTATTGAAATATAGGATCAAAGTCTTGCATGTAAAATTGGGGCATGTAATGACTTTATTCTAGCTCTAAGACTTATAACAGTGATGATTTGATTTAATATCTTTATCCCGATTTGTCGAAAAGATTTGGACATAGTGCATCAATTACTGTAGATCACTTAATTTTCGCGACACCTTATTTTCGCGAGATAGTCATTGACTCTTGATTAGCGAAACAAAATTTTCACGAATTATGGTAATTGCTTTATATAATCTTAAGGAATTCTATTATACGCGAGCATTAAAGGTTCATTCTCTATAAGGCCATTTTCCGGCCTACGATAAAATCACTTTAAAATGTGATTTTATATAACTATAATCATTCCAGTTCATGATTTCGATGTTTGTTTTTCAACATCGATCATCTAAGTCACGTGATTTAGAGATAAAAAATGGCTGTAAGTTAAAGAAAAATTGAGGGTAGGTCTATTTAAATCAAGTTTCTATGCATGTGTCTGAATATAAGTGATCAAAACTTGTTTATTTATGTCGGAAATACATAAGACTTAAGTAATAAATTCGAAGATTTTTTAAATTTAAGGTTCAAGATATTTTTTATGACAAGAATTCCGATGCATCCATATTTTGCATATTTTGAACGTAAATCTTTACGAAATTCACACTGTATGGTGCTGAAAAAAGTTTGATTGGCAATTTATTGAAAGGTATTAAATTATATATAATCATATTGTAATTGTATATCGTTTCTATAGATGTGATACTTATTTTACGCATAAAATAATCATGTTAGAAATGAGGTTTCTAAACTTATAAGTTTCTATTGAACTCTAAGAGTTATGTTTCAAATGTTGACAGTTCTGAATGGATTTTGATTGTGATTAAATAAAACTGAAGTAGCAATTAAGAAAAGAAATTCAACAATTGCAAAAAATAAAGAATTATTAGCATAGGAATATCAATGCAAGTACATGTGACTATCCATATACATGTAAGTAATCAATACATATAACTCAGACCGGTTGCATTAAAATATACATCTCTAAGTAAAATGAAATAGCGTCGTAAAATTGCCTTGCTTTTATTTAATTACTCGTGTTGCACGATATATTTTAATTTAAAATGTCATCTTTTATATATTTACATGTATAAAATTTGAACTCCCCCCCCCCCCCCCGTGTCTGACCGCACAACGTAAAATGGAGTAGAATTTTAACAGTTCCCTTCAAATATGCGTATCAGATTCTAAAGTTTTCGTATATATTAGTATACGGACTTAAGATCTCTACAACATCCCAGGTACAAAATGGACCCTAAGGGTTTGATGGACCTTTTCACTCTTGAAACCTGTAGGTTAAATTCAGTCTCTTTCCCAGTGCAGCGTGAAAAACGTGTTTAACACGGACAGTGACAGTTTCCTACCGAGGTCTTTAGCATTTAAAGTAAATGTCATGGGTCTTTTGGATATTATCTTTTTTTTAAAAAAAGATCCCGTCCTGCGCTGGGCGTAGGTTAGTAATGCAACAATGCATAAACACTTTTGGATAATATCTTTATCTGGCTGAAAAATCCTTAAATGGGGTAAAGCAACATTCAATTATCAATCACATATTACATTAAGGAATCTCTCTCCTCTTTACCAGTTTATTTTCTGAGACAGGACAACTGTTATTGTAACTTATATCAATGCTATCAAAGAAGTGTGATGAAAAAACTCAGTCCTTTCAATATCAAGACCCGGTTTACAAAATATGGATCACATGATACTCGTACGGAAGTGTCATTATAAAAATTATGTGTGTACCTATCGGAAAAAAAGTCTATAACACAAATAATAAATGCATGTTACCGCTTCAACCAAGATTGCTTTCATCATTTCTAGAAAATATACAGTACTCATAAGGAAATACATACACAGAGAATATATGCAGTATTCAGTCATAACGGAATTCAAAGAAGTAGAATATATACTAGATATACTAAACTATCATTATAAATATAAAAGATAACTCATATGAATTCACTATGGCCTATAAAAAGTTTTTATTTCTTAATTTTTTTTTAGACATTTCAAAGAAACGTCTCCACTTGTAATTTCATGACATCCAGTCTTCTCAGTCCTTTGATTTTTAGATTTTTAAGTAAAAAGTTCACATTTTTTAAAGTAAATATGCATTACTGATATTAATCTTGGTAAATCAATAGAAAATTGTATTTTAACCAAAAGTTCAGAAAAAGAAATAATCTACATAAGCTGATATCTTTCATTGTGAGTAGTTAGGTTTTTCTGCAAATATCGTAAAAATGATGTGAAAAGTTTTTATTTAGATGTCATAACCACCTTTAACCAAATTCATAATTTGGTAGTCACTTTTTATGTTTATAAGAAATTTACAAGCAAATTTTGGTGTTGGTTAAAGGTGGTTATGACATTTGTAGGAGTTATCTAACACAGCCACCCTCTTGAGTTTTCCTATTACTCTAATGCTAATAGGGACCGATTGTACCTTACTTTGTGACCCTATATCATTAAAAATACTATTGTATCATTAACCAACCAATATTTATCATTAAATTGGAACATAAGCCTAGTGATTCGTGCAATTTTTAAGGGAAAAAATGCAATCTGAAAATTTGAAGTCATTGTAGGCCGCAAACCGGCCTTATAGAGAATGATCCTTTCGCGAGCACACTGTCTCGCGTAATTACGCGAAAATAAAGTTCTCTTGTTTTCTTGTGTAATTACTCGAAAATAAAGTTCTCTAGTTTTCTTGTGTGACACTGTTTTATCGGCTTCGAAACTAAGTTTGTGATTTCCAAACCAGATTAATGAGATCATGTAATATCTTTTAACATCGGTGACTATTTAATCCATTCTTTTACATCTCAGAAGTATTTTTATTATTACAGGGAAAATATGCATTGTACATGTATCTGTAATAAACAGGATTATAGAAATTTTCCATATAATACAACACAATCTTAGCAACTGAAGGCAAATATTTTATCAAGGGTGTGATCTATTTATCAATATGGTTTTCAGCATCTTGCTCTACCTGTAATGACTTGCTCCAAGTTCCAATATTTAAATTTAAATTTTGCAAACATGGTTATAAAATTCTTTAAAAGCCAAATAGTTTAGGCACAAAATGCTTATATATTTCCTATCATTTGTAAAGTGTACACTGAATGAGATGTGGAATGTTAGAATTAAAGTATTAAATATGTTTTGGACTTATGTATGCTTATGCAGATAAATTTGAATTCAACTAGGGAAGGTAAATGTCATACTTATTGGGTTTGCAATCTAACGCAAGAGTATAAATATCCAAGACAAATTTGACAATTTTAATGAAGGGTTTAAGTAACCCAAGAAGAATTGGACAGCTAAACATCACTTGTTGGGTTTTATTCTAATGTTGGGATGTAGTATCCAAGAAGAGTTGAACCAATGTCCAATACCTATTGGGTTTTCTTTCGTATGAAAAAAAAACCCAAGAAGAATGTCCAATACCTTTTAGTTTATATACTATTGAAGGGATGAAGATATCCAAGAGGAATTGGACAGGTGTCCATTACATGTTGGGTAGTATTCTGATGAGGGGATTCTCAAGAAACCCAAGAATTAGACAAGTGTCCATTGCCTGTTGGGTGGGATGTAGATATCCAAGAGGAGTTGGACGGATGTCCATTACCTGTTGGATGGTATTCTGATGAAACAATTCAAGAAACCCAAGAAGAATTGGACAAGTGTCCATTACCTGTTGGGTGAGATGTAGATATCCACGAGGAGTTGGACAGGTGTCCATTACCTGTTGGATGGTATTCTGATGAAACAAGTCAAGAAACCCAAGAAGAATTGGACAAGTGTCCATTACCTGTTGGGTGGGATGTAGATATCCAAGAGGAGTTGGACAGGTGTCCATTACCTGTTGGGTTGTATTTTATGAGGAGATTCAAGAAAACCAAGAATTAGACAAGTGTCCATTACCTGTTGGGTGGGATGTAGATATCCAAGAGGAGTTGGACGGATGTCCATTACCTGTTGGGTTGTATTTTGATGAGGAGATTCAAGAAACCCAAATAGAATTGGACAATGTACACATGTTCAATTGTTCTTGGGTAGTTTCATCCCTTCGTCAAAATACAACCCAACAAGTATAGGACACCTGTCCAATGCCTGTTGGATACCTTCATTCTGTCCAACATGTAATGGGCATTTGCTTATTATTAATTGGTCATGACTCAAAAAGGTTTCTCCTTAAATACTTAATTTTGTTATTCAAGAAAGGTTGAACAGAGTCTGAGATGTGTTGAGTTGTGTTTTCACAATTCAGTTTTTTTTGCACTTAGGTATTCATATATTTTAATATTAGTTATTTTGAAATATACAGGTGTATGGCCTCATTGCTAAGAACAAATTAGTTAGGTGTCACAATAAAAGAGCTATATCACAGAAATTGACAAAAATATGGGTTCAAAATCAAAAGTTTTCAGTCATGTCTGAATTTACCAGCAAATATTAAATATATAATAAATTTGAAATGAATAAAAAACAATAAGAAAAAAACCCAATAAAATACGGACACGAGGATTAATATCCAATAAGATTTGAACAGTAACTACCCAAATAATACTCTCTCGTGTGTACACTTTTTTTGTATCCAATAAGCAGTATCCAATAGGACTTGGACTTGATGTACCCAATATATAACCAAATGTGTGTTCGTCCGTCCGTCTGTCCGTCTGTCTGTCCGTCTGTAAACTTTTCACATTTTCGACTTCTTCTCAAGAACCACTGGGCCAATTTTGACCAAACTTGGTACAAAGCATCCTTGGGTGAAGGGGAATTTAAATTGTTAAAATTAAGGGAC